GCTTGCGCTGCCCCAGCCTGCGGCTCCCTCACCGTCTCCGCCAGGACCTTCTGCGGGGTGGGCTGGCCCCGGCCCCACTGAGCTCCTGGCACTAGCCGAGCCGGCCACGTACTTCCCCAAGAAGGATGCTCTGACTGGGGGCCGGGGACTGCAGAGCCGTCTTCCTGCTGCTGGTCCCCTCACGTCTCTGGCCAGGGCTTTGCTGGCCAGCAGGCACTGGCTCCTTGGACTCACTCGAGGGACCCTGAGCACTGCTCTGCTGCGTGTGCCCTCGTGGTGCACTCCTTTTAAACCTCTGGCCTTCACCACCATGCCCGCTTCTCTGGTTGTCCCCAGTAATCGCACTTAGGGGCCCCCCCAGATCTTGCTTTACTTGGTGGCCTTGGCCCACTTTCCCAATGCACACCAAAGAGGCCTGTGTCGGAGAGCGGAGGCTGAAAGAGTGTGAACGGGGCACGACCAGGATTTTTTTTCCACTGTTCCTCTCTCACCTGCAGTCTTGGGTTTGCTTTAGCAGTTTGCCCAGTACAGGGACAAAGCCATCCTGGATTGTGCAATCGGGTGATTGATTTTAAATCCCCTACACTTTGACTCTTACACCTACACAATGACATGTCATCATCATGCAACACATGGCAGAGAGAAGCTTTCAAAAACTAAAATTGCCTGTAGGCATACAAAAACCCCCCAAACTGAGCAGGGTGGTTTTTTGGCAGTCGCCCACGAGAGTGGGAACTGAATAATGATTCTAGCAACCAGCTTCAAGAGTAGGAATAATTTATGAATAACCACGGTACATTTTTTTTGTTGTTGCAAAAATGCATCTGGCAAATTTACCAGAGGTACATTTAGTAAGGGATTTCTAAATGGCTGCTAGTGAAAAACTCTTGAAAATGTTAATGTATCCCCAGGCATTTCTGGGTCTTAAAATGTGTTATTGCTGGCCTCTTTGTCCCTAGTCAGGGTGTGAAATAGCCCTGAGCGAAGAAGGATAGTTGAGGCTGGAGGAGACAAGTTATGGTGCAGGAAGAGCCAGAGGCTCTTGCCTGTTAACTGCTTCGCACTGTGCAGAGCAACCCTAAAGCTGGTGTGTGGACTCGCCTGGCACATGGACTGACTACTGTCTGCTCTTGCGCACTGCGGCATTGGGGCTTGGACTGTGCCTTTGGACATGGCTCTCACACTACTATACTCTGACTGTTGAAATGGCCTTTTAATGCAATCAAGTGTAATTTGAGGCAGCCCTGAGTTGTGTGGCCCTAGCTGGATTCCAGATTTATTTTGGCGGGGGTGGGAAAGGTTGGATCAGAAGTAATGTCCTTTATTTCTCTCTCCCCGCCCCACAACTACACTGAATGCAGCTGTGGATTCAGCTCCTGCTGTCTAAAATAAGGATACATTTTGTTTTTGGATGTTATTTGATCTTGTTCACTCATTTGAAATTTTTTTTTTTTTTTGCTTCAGAGGAAATACTCTGTCTATAGTAATGCACCTACAATTATTTAATTTTTTTTAAAGATTTACTCTCTTTTTTTTTTTTTTACAGCAGCTCTGCCAGTTGATCCTATTCAGGAAAACTATGTTCGTCAAGTGAGAGACTGCATTTTTTCAGTTGCCTACCCTACTCCATTCAAATCCAGAGTACTTCTTGTGGCCGTTTCAAAGGTTAGGTTTTAGAATATAGTGCTTTTGTTGTATTAATATGTATTTCTTACAAATTATTCGAAAAATTGAGCATGCAAAATGTCACGTATAAATTCCACCTTAATTTTAGTGGTGTCTTACTCAGCAACACACCGTTATTTGGAAAAAGAAAAAAAAACTTGCTTCCAGCAGTTTTGGTAATTTTCAAATAATTTCTGTTTCTCAGGTAGTTCTTGAAGAGATTTTGGACCTTGATGTGTCTATCACCGAAACAGATGATTTTCTCCAGTTTGTCAGTGGTGGGAAAGTAGGAATTGGATTTGTTCCTCTGGCTCATAGATACGGAGGTCATCAGGTATCAGTAATAGTATTTCTCCTATATAATAACATAGTGGCCTTTACTATTTGAATTATCCCTTGAAAATCTATAAAGAAGTCAGTGCCAGTTAAGAGGTAGATTGTAACTTAATGTTGTACTTTGTATGAGGGTGAGTCAGAATATAATGTCTCTTAATTTTTATCTTCTAAGCAAGCAATGGATATGGGGGGTGTTCGTGTTGACTTCTTGTCTAAGGGACCTACAAAGGTCTATGTCAAGACCCTGAAGAAACTGAAATATCACATGCAAAGAACCCTAAAGAGACATGTCTGAGATGGTGTTTCTGTATAATAAGGCTCACCCACACACCAGCTTGCTCATTACAGAGACAGTCCCAGTGGACTGCGTTGCTCCATCCTCTGTACAATCCAGTGGATGAAGGATGACCTGCAAGGGCAGCATTTTTGGGATGACAACAGAGTGATGGAGGCTTTGCACCAAGAATAAGGTCTTTACAATATCAGGATATGTGCTCTTGTTTGAAGGTGGAAAAAGGTCATGGATGGAGAAGGAGATTATGTTGAAAAACAGCTGTGTGTTCAGTGGTGATGTACAAATTTTCCATGCAGGTTGCATATTTTTTCAGTAAGAAAAAAAGAATAGGCGGCATTACTTTTTGACTGAATCTCATATAAGGAAAAGTGTACAGATAAAGACAGGGGTGTAGACATTTTAATATTTGTTCATAGCTTCTTGTTTGCTTATCCTACTTGCTGCAGCTGTTTTGTTTTACCCTTGTGTCATCCACTGTCCACTCAGAATAGGGTTTGGGAGTTGTGCACTCTCAAAGGCTACCTCCAAGTTGTGACCCATGGTGAATATAATCCATTCAGAGGCTTGAAAGGTGTCCAAAGCCCCATTAAAATCAATGGGACTGCTCCTGGAATAACATGGTCTGTAATCTCCAGTGAGAAAATGACACTGGATGTCAGACTCGAATACTGTGGCATTAGGAGCCATATCTGTACTTAAATAGACAGAAGCCAGAGAGAGATAATTTTTTATTACTAGTATTGCTCAGTTTCTTTTGCTGTGTTTTTTCATGTCCCTCTTCATTTTTCTTCCTTTTGGAAATATTATGGTATGGTTTGATCCTGCAAATGCTTCCTGCCTGCACTAGGGTTTATAACTGAGTAAACACATTGGCTTCAACAAGATTAGGCAGACAAGGTTCCTTGGGTGAATTTGATATCTTTTATTAGACCAACCCAAATGGTTGGAGAATAGTTATTAAGCAAGCTTTCGGGTTCAAAAACCCTTCGTCAGGCTCAGGAAGCTGCAGCAGTTGCTGTGTGCTCTTCCTGGATGGAATGAAAAGTAAAGAAGCCAGGGGCTGGGCTGGGCTGGGGAGTCAGTTGCCAGGCAGATTATAATGTATCAAAAATCCAATGTCTATGTTTAGTCCCTGATCTCTAGTATCCAGCAGGTTGATGAAATGGAGCTCATAGGCTCGTCTCTGGGATGTGTTGTGTAAATTTCCCTTGAGGATCAGGACTGAGAGATTGGAGAGAGAGTGGCCCTCCTGTGACAAATGTGCCCCCACCGGTAATTGGGTGTTTCTGTCTTTGATGGATTTCCGGTGTGCGTTCATTCTGGTGCGCAGTTGTTGTCTGGTCTCTCCTACATATCTTCCATCAGGGCATTTGGTGCATTGGATGAGGTATACTACATTCCTGGAGGTGCAGCTGTAAGATTCTGGGATGCTGATGGCTCTGTTGTGGGGTGTAGTAATAGTGGGGGTGGTGGAGATGTGGGGGCAGGGTTTGCATTTCTTGTCATGGCACGGGCTGGATCCTTTTGGTGTGTTCTGGGGTTGAGGAAGTTTGCTTCTGGTGATGAGGTTGGCGAGGTTCGGTGCTTGTCTGAAGGCTAGGATGGGGGGCTCTGGGAAGATCTTTTTAAGAATAGGGTCTTTTTCTAATATGGGTTGCAATTTGCTACCTGAACAATATTATATTGGGTGTATCTACATGAGATACTACATTGATATAGCATCGGCAGACACAAACCGTGACGCCGCAGTTACACCACTGTAGCAACATGCTTTCTTGCTACAGCATGTTGCTACAGTGATGTAGTGGCTAAACAGAACCATGCCACCGGCACTCCCAAAAGGAAGTACTAAATGATGGCGCAGTAACAACAGTGCCATTGGGGCACGTGTAGATGCGCCCATTGTTAAGGGGTTTGTTAAATGTAAACAATTCCCTGACACATAACATAACTGTAAATGATAACAAGGGGAAAATTACATAATTTTCATTTTTTTTAGTTTGGTAGCTGGGCAGGTCAGCTTGGTGATGGAAGAGCCCACATGATTGGAGTGTATACAAACAGGTACAGCATGCTTTATATCAAAATTATCCACAAGCTACATTTCAGCTAAATATCACTTAGAAACTATCCTAGTGGTATCATTAAAAACACTAGTACTATTTTCACAGGTATGGTGAGAGGTGGGAACTACAGCTAAAAGGCTCAGGAAAGACACCATACTCTAGGTACAGTATACTTAAATCCATACATACAGAAGTTTGATGTTTTTTCTCTTTAAATTTTTAAAACAAGACAAATGTTGCCTATTTGTTCTTTGTAGAGATGGTGATGGAAGAGCTGTACTTCGTTCCTCTGTGCGAGAATTTTTGTGTAGCGAAGCCATGCACTACCTTGGCATTCCAACAAGCAGAGCTGCTAGGTATTCTTCTTTTCTCTTTCACAGCATTCATGTTTAAAGGTACCGTGATGCTGAGTTTTGGGACCAAATTTTGTTGCACTGAACAATGCATCATTGAAGCTTGGCAGCAGGCTTAATGGTTTTTCTGTGGATGCACACTACAATCAGGGGCAAAAATACACCTCTTTCATTTGTTAGACTGGCAAAACTTCCTAATAATTTCTAAGTCTCATTACTAATTGATTACTTTTTTTTGTGATACACAGTTGGTGATGGGTAAATGAGGTGAGGTTTATAGTGGTGTCTTAAAAAGAGTGACTTTAACTTACAGTCTTATCAGTTTAAAAAAATAGGTTAAAATTAGCTGAAGAACCATTTCTGATATTAATTCCTTCTTCCAGTTTTTATGGGCTTATAATCACAGTTTCCTCTCTCTTTTTTAAAGAAGTGTTTTTCTCTTCACTGTTGTTATATAAAAATCTGGCACCAAGGGCAAGATGAATTTGCTATCTGATTAGGTCTTATATGCTGTAGCAGCATTGGAGTCCCAGGGGCAGCCATTACATCTCCTGGTGACTCCACAACTGTGCCCGGTCTGCCCCTTCTTGCCCGCCACACCTTGATGGAATACTGATAAAATTAAGAGCGAGGCTTCCCACAGGCCTTGGCATGAGCCCCAGTCTAATTGGACCCTCACTGGGTTTCCTTGGCACCCTACCAGTCTCACTACACTATTCCTAGGTCTCAGGCCCCTCACTCTTGAGGCTGCTCTTGCTGACTGTGCCCCACAGAGCACCTAAGGCCTTAGGGGCTAATTGCAAGGCTCCTGTCCTCCCCTACACAACGCCCTAAGCCTTGCGGGTGTTTCCTAATGTTGATCTCTTGTTGGTCTTTGGTCTGCTCAACCACCACCCCGTTCCTCTCAGCTAGGCCTTCTAGCCTAGGCCCACTATATCGGACCTGGCTTGAGGTACTAGGTGTCATTTGGCCCTTTTGGGCACCTGGCCCCTGTCTGCTCTGCTCCTGGCTTCTGTCTGGTTGCATCCCTCCTGGGTGTCAGTGTAACTGCAGCATAAACAATAGGTCGTTTTAAGAGGGCAAACCTTTCCTCCCCTCTAACGCTGGTATACCTTCCAGCCCTGGGCTAGCCTTGTGAGCTCCCCAAGCTTCACTGGGGTTCCACAGTAAAATATCGGTGCATTCAGGAGCCCTGCTGCACAGAACTCTTTACCTTGTAGCTGCCCAGGAGAGACTAGCTTGCTAGCCCCAGCCCCCTTGGGCCCTTAGACCCCTGGTCCTGCACACAGCCATTCCTTCAGGCTTTCAGACCCCTGGTCCTGCTTGCAGCTGTTCCTCTGGGCCCTCAGACCCCTGATCCCACTCACACCTGTTCCTCTGGGCCCTTGGACCCCTGGTCCTGCATGCGGCATCTCCTCTGGGTCCTTGGACCCCTGGTCCTGCATGCGGCATCTCCTCTGGGTCCTTGGACCCCTGGTCCTGCATGCGGTATCTCCTCTGGGCCTTCAGACCCCTGGTCCTGCTCGCAGCTGCTCCTCTGGGCCCTCGGACCCCTGGTCCCACTTGCAGCTCCTCCTCTGGGCTCACAGCTCCTCTGGCAGACACCTCAAATCCACTAAGGGTGTAACATAAAACAAAGACTACGTGCCTGTAAATTGGCCTCTGTTCCCAGGCCTGCAGAATTGTTTAAATAAATCTAAGTCTCTTCAGGAGCCTGGCTGCTGGTCTGCTGTCAGGGGCTCATGGCTGCTGGGAAGGGATTGCCTGACCAGTTCAGGCTCTGGGTTTATATAGCTGCCACCTGAGTCCTCTTCCTCTTCTGGTCAGGTGAGTTTCTCATTAGCCCACTTGACTACCTGGAAGTGGCCTCTCAGGCAGATTGCCCCCTTAAAGGAGCAGGTATACCCCAGTGCCCTGCTACATATGCTTATGCTTAACTTGACACATTTGAATAGTCAATGACATATTTATGCATAAAAGTTGTGTAAGTCTATTCAGAATTTAGCTAAGCACTTGTGTAAGTCTATTCAGAAAAAAGGTAAAAATGACTATCTACAGGTATTGTCAGAAATGCAGAGCAAGTGCATGGAAAAAACCCAGCTATTTTTGAATCCTTATATTTCATTTACAATAATCTTATATATTAGTTTAAAGATTGATAAGAAAATTATTTTTAACCAGAAATGAAATTTTAATGAGTGGTGTCTTTTTGAGATCACAATTGGTTTTTCAGTTCTTACAGGTTTTTTTTTAAATTTGTTGGAAATAATTCCCAGAATAAAATCTAAGAGCATAGCAGGTGTTTATTATTAGTGCTCTCCCAGGAAAAAAAGCCCCAAGAGATCACACAAACATTTTTATATTAAACCCAACTCTGCTTGAATACAAGCTGGAGGGGAGCTGGTGGGGGGAGTATAGGACTGTTATTTTGTATTCCAAGTGAGTTGAATGGCTGGGGTTCAGCCATTTCACTCTAAAAGAAAGTAAATATTCTGTGGCAAATACTTTGTACTCAGCTGTCACAGGGCAATTTCATGGGGTTTCTATGTTTGCAGAGTGTCTGCAAATCTCTCTAGCATTGATTTTAACACATTTGCTCTGCTGGAGTGCAGTGTTTGCAAATGATGTTTTAGAAGGTCTGCTCACTTACTTCAACAAAAGGTCCCAAAGTGTCAACAATTGTCGAAAATCCACACGTCTGTCTAGAAATCAGCATGAAAGCCTCTGGCAAGGTTATGTCCTTCCTTGCTGTTGTCTTGACAAATTGCTGAGTTCAGAAAACAGTCTCAAACATTACTCATTTAACTGTGTACCAGTTCTGCCAAATACATAATATGCCTTATCCCATTGTACTTGGCAAACTGTTTAGGACTTTCAGTGGTGTTGGTAGAATTAAGTCTCTCATAAAAGACTGCATGAGCTTGAAGCCTTTCAGAATTATTTTGTCAAATTTTCATTTGAAGAAATCTAGCAGATATCCGTATTTGTCCCAATGGGGAGCAGTCATGTCTCACCAGTTCTAGTTTGTTTACAGAGTTCTTGTTGAGTCTTAGCAGAAGTGCGAAAGGGCCATGTAATTATCCAAGAATGCCCTGCCGAGACTTTTACTCCATTAACTTCACATACTCTATTCTCAACAGGAAGCTCCAGTCTATGACTGCAGTGGTACCACATATGGGAAGTAGCTTCTTCTGCCACTGCTGAAATTATAGATTGGAGCTTCCATTGGGTCCATTGCACAGAATGTTTCTTTTGTGGTTGGTTTGTTTCTAATAAATATCTAAATTACAGTTTACTTTCCTTATATTCATAGAGCTGGGCGTTCCAAAGCAGGAGCGTTAGGAAAGTGAAATCTAGCCCCCTAAGCCAGATTCATCCCACCAACTGTCAGTGCACCAGCCTGAAAACAGGAGATGTAGGCACTTGTATTTGTTTGCTGAGCCAGTTGATTTTGGGTGCTGACAGACATTCAGCTCCCTGCTGTAACCCATGGCGCTTCACAGGAAGAGCTGTGAATTACATCATTCCCCCAGACCCATAAGTCATTCACTAATGGGTCCGGGGTTGGGGTGGGGGTTGAGGAACTGAGCTCCAATTCAGAACAGCTGCGTGCCTGCAGCCACTCTCCCTTAGCGCCACTCCCCCTGCTTCTCCCCATTTCCGGTGCTGTCTTCAGAATGGGAGGGGGAGAAAGGGAAGGGAGTTCTGTCTGGGGTTTGCCCAGCCTGTGCTGGAGGGTGGGGTTGGGTGTATTGGAGCCCCCCCCTTGGACTTGAAACTTTGAAAATAACACTGGTCTGAAATTATTGACCTATAGGGTACGTTGTTAAATCTATCTATTTGGCTATAAGAAAGGTTAGGTCTTGTAGATTAGTTGACGAAGTGTGGATTTTTGTCTGTGGCAGTCGGGGGTTGCAGGGTAGGTGTGTTAATGTTTATTTAATAAAGTTTAAACAAACAGTTAAATCTATAACTACTTTGGATGGTTTCCAATCTTATGAACTGGATGGAAAGTTCAGCTATTTGGAAACACTGACCACATTTTTGGACTTAATCGTCTCTATATCAGTGAGATGGGATTTGAATATTTCATTTATTTCTATATTAATATATTTATTATTTGATTTATATCCCTCTCTTCCCTACAATGATCCATTGGTTCTGGTTTCCTTTTTATATTCCTGCACAGACATTTGTTGCGTTTCTAGTTGTATCTTGAAAGAAAAGGCAGTTTAATTATTTAGGGAAACCTCAAAATTCAGCTTTTCAGTTTTCTGCCCTTCTACCTATTCAGCAATCTGTCTGATTCCCCTTTATGGTTAGTAGTAACTGTTCAGATTATATCTAAAGCCATCAACTAACAGTCCAAGGTCTGTGTGTAACTAGACGCTACACATCTGCGTTTTAGTAGAAAACAAAATTTCTCCCTTCTTTTTGATAGTGAAATATATTTGGGTTTTTAACAGACCCAACTCTAGTTATTTGTGGATCCTAAATGAGTCATTATTTCAGTCCATTGGCAAGGAAAAATTAAAGAACAGTACCCAAACCAGATAAGCCTCTCTGTGCCTAGTTGCAGGGTTAAGAGCTCTTCTTCTATGATCATCTGCCAGACTATGATTTCCCAGCCCTCCTCCCAGAAAAAGGGAGAAAATGTTGTACCTCTGGCTGGGTTTTGCATGGCAAGAATTAGCTACAAAGCAAACCCAGTTTCTTCACCTTGCTAGTCACTGCTGGTACATTCTTTCAGTAGGCAGAGGTGTAATTAATTCTTTCTTTGAATTGTACTGTCTGCTGTGCTCCTGATTACTAAAGAGAATCCCAAGTGTGCCTGGAAGAGTTCTAGTACAACACCGCTGGTTCACATAAATATAGGAACCTTCATCACAATACATTCCTATATTTTAGTTTTTAATTTTTCGTTAATATACCGGAAGTTTGAGCCTAATATTTATATTAAAATAGCACCAATGGATGATCAGGGCCCGTGCTGTTGTGAGTGCTCTACATCAAGAACTAAAAAAAACCCCCTAAACAGTCCTTGCCCATGAGAATGCACAGCTTCAATTATGACAAGATAGTGCAGATAAAAGGATGGCTTATGGGGATGGAGAACATGCAAGTATGATGAACGCTTTTTGCTAATAACATGTACCCCCTCTCCACTGGGCTGTCTGCATCATTTGCTGTCCAACAATTACTTATCTTTTCTTTCTTTTTTTAAAATGAAGTAGGATGATAAAATCTGAATGGTTGGGATATAAAAGATTTTTTCATAGTTTAATGGCTTCATTTCTCCTTTCTTACAGCTTGGTTGTAAGTGATGATGATGTGTGGAGAGACCAATTTTACAATGGAAATGTTAAGAAAGAAAGAGGTAATCAATGGTTCTTAAAATACTATAGTGTAACATTGTGGCTCCATTCTTCATTGATTTTTGTGCATTGTATACTTGCAGTCTCCCATATTTTTTATGACAGAATCGTTGAGTGTATAAAGAGTCCTTGTTTAAATGTTACACCTCCTCTGAGGAAATAAATGCTCAAATGTTTCTTAATTTATCAAAATGAAGGGCTGTGGATAAGACCGCTGTTATAGTATAGGTGCAGCCAACCTGCAGCATGGGTGCTACAAGTGGCACAGGCAGCCCCTGTGATCCTGCAGATTAAGCAGGAAGCATAGAGAAAGAAGCAGAAAGCAGAGCAGCAAATCAGGCAAGGAAAGGGGATCAGCATAGCACTCAAAGAGGGTCTGTGGCTGATGTCGGGGATCAGATTCAGCGCCAGCAGCTGCTTTCTGATTCCCACCGGAGAAGTAAAACTTTCACCTTGACAGGCGGGTAATTAATGGATGGGGTGAAATTAACCAGGCACAGACGCGTGTTGGTTACAGGAAATTGTTTACTTACGTCACCCAGATAGTGACGTGCGACGCAGGCTGAGCCTTTGTTCCGTTACAGTTGCTTCAGTTACAGTCAAGTGTACGGGTTCGGGTTACAGTCAAGCGATGGCTTTACTACGTCAAGATTTACGATGACGGGGAGTCATTAGTAATTGATCAGACCACTAAGTCACTCTGGTGATGGGCTCAGGTTTCTCCTCAGAGATTCCCCCAGAGCTCTCCACCTTAGGCGGAAGTTGCTAAACTATTTATAGACAGAGGTAACTAACGGAGATATCCAATGATGGGCTGCTAAGTGGAATCTTTAATTTTTTGGCAAAGCAGCAGTTCTTTGTGTTATCAGGTTACAAGGTAGTGGGTCAGGTTTCCTGCCTGTTACGTATGAGGTTACGTGTGAGGGGCTTACGCTTGTTTCTTGACCAATTACATACAGTTTTCCCTCCGGGATTTTGTTTCAGGAGTTTCTGGCAAGGATTTCTTTTAACCCTTAGTTGACTACTGTGTGTGAAATGAGGATGGTCTGAATGGTATCTCTTGCTAGTGGCATGGGCACTGATTAATTGGGTTGTGACATGCCCCCTTGCCCATGGCACAGCAAGTGACCACTTACTTTAGGCTATAGCTCGTTCTCGTCGTCATACTTGTTGTCATTGGAGTCATCTAATGGCAAGCCGGTGTATACAAAAGCAGAAAGCGTCGTTAGTCGTTTCTTTATGAGCTGCAAGATACAACAACCTAAACATACAACTATGGCTATCGCAATTAATGGCAAGCACAAGGTAATAAGCAGGTTTAGTAAATGCATTAACCAAGATGATGTATCCCATCCCATCCAGCCGAAAAGGTCAGCTAACCATCCCTTTCCTAGTCCTGCGACGTTGTTGGTTCTTGCTGCAGTTTTTCACAAAGACGTGATTTGGTGTTCTAGAGGAAGGGACACATTGGGAATACCAATACAACAATGTTCAAGGGAAAGATTTAAAAATTGACAAAGTCCGCCTTCTTTAAGTAAAAGAGCATCTAATGCTAAATGATTTTGCATCGTCATTTGTGAAGTGGCTTGTAGTTGTTGGTTGATTAGAGCAAAGCTATCAGCAGTGTCGTTAACTAAGCGTTCGACTTCTTCTGCTAACTGAGCGATTGCTATGCGGGCTTTTCCTATGCTTAGCCCCCCCCAGAGGAAGGTACCTTCGAGGATCCATCGCAGAGCTTGACTAGATTGCCCTTCATCGGTGAGCGAACTCCCAAGTGGTACCCCGCCGCATACGGTGGCGTAACACGGGAAGGCTTTCACGCCGTATTGGTGTACACTGGTGGGCATAACACAACCGTAGCTAGGAAACATTGTACTCCCAAGAGGGTGCCAGGGAGCATTGTATACAAGTGCCCGTCCGAACAGGCCCATAGTAACCCGGCAGGAGCTGGGGTACTTATGGTTTTACACCGGGCTGACCCCGTCCACGTTTTGGGGTGTAACTCGCCAGGGACAGCATTGGGATTGGGTGATGCTGCTGAAAGTTTATGGCACCACTGGCTAATTTGGGCTGCTCTTAAGATGGGGTAATAATACGAGTACAAGCTCATGTTATTTGAAACGTTCATTGCCAAGGAAGCGTTCCATGTTGTGATTGGGTTTGGGGTTAACAAGGGAGAAGGCCCAAAAGGTGGAGGTCCTGAAGTTTTAACATTGGGGTCAATTGTGGTCAGACTGGGGTCGGGCAGAAGGGGTAAGTACCAGGGTGGTGACCAACCCTTCCTTGGGTACCACCTAAGCGAACTATCCGGTCGTTGCCAATCTACCCCTTCTCCTGGGATTCCCCATGGGACCTCAGAACCAAGCAGCTGCTGCGTGTTGCGTTTGTTTGAAGATGGGTCGATGGTGCTTCGGGAAAAGCCCTTTTGACCCATAGCATCTGTCTCAGCCAGGTAGAGCCGACTGAGGGAAACGCTGGTTAATTAAGCGAATGTCAGGCAGGCTGGTGGATGGAGAGGCGAGACAGCGTATTGGTTGCAAAAATAGTTTTTACTTACGCCGCTGGTGGCCGCGACGCAGGCTGTAAAGGCTGCTTGCGTAGTTGCAACGAGTTGCTTCAACTGGCAAGAAACCGAGCCAGTGAGTCCACAGACGAACCGGGCATGTTGGGGGTAAGCGCTCGGCGACGGGGAGGAAAAATCGGTAGTTGATCAGGCTACTGATTCGCTCTGCCACGAGTCAGGAATTCTTTAAAGTCACTCTGCAGCGTGCTCAAAGTTCTCCGACTTGGGCGGAAGTCGCGCGGATTTTTATACGGCTAGCGAGCCAATTACTAGTCGTTAAGTAGGAATAATTTAGAATCAGCCAATAATGGGGTGTGAATTTGCATACAAATGGCGGGAACTTTTTTGCACCGGGGCTTTCTCTCTGCAGCAGAAAATTCCACCGTGCAAAGAAGTTCCAATGTGGCGGGAAAATTCCACTGTGCCGAGGCACTAAAAATCATTCGGTTATGACAGCATCGAGGGTTATGTTAACAGACCAAGAGTACATATGGCGGCGAGGTCCCCTGGCACTGGGAAAAGTTAAGTTGGCATTTTTTTGAGGAGCCCCATTTTTCTCCTGTAACCAAGCAGAAACATTTAGTGGATATACAATGGGATCTAACACTGGGTCAACAACCGACAACGGAAGTTTTAGACAAGCGGTTAGCCCCGACATGTCGTTAGACCCCGTCATGTTTGCCCACACTGACAGAAGAGATAAAATCGAGTTGGAGGTTTCGAAGTCTGTAGAAGGCACTGAGGCGACAACAGCACTCGACAGGATGAGCACAATAAGCCTCTTCATCATGGCCCGGGGAGTGTACAGCGGCACACGAAATTGATGCGACTTGATGTCTTTGGCGGGCTGTCGGACCTGGTCGCTGTGGCCACGGTCGAACCTGGAAAATAAAACGAGAGCAGTAACTGGGTACATAACAGTTAGTCGGTTTTGAGGGCAGAGCGACGGGTTAGTCAATTATGATGAGCTAAAATTGGCGATTGGTCTTTATTTTCGTCAAGGTATACGGAGTAGGTGTTAGGGTACAGTTCGGGTTTGGAGATGACTCCTTTGTATACTCGTGGGTGTGATTGGTGAGGGTGCGGAACGGTGACCCAAACTAATTCGTCTGGTTTGAACTTTGGTTCCCATGGTGGGGGTTTCTGAAGCGAAGGTTCATTCCAGAGGGTTTTGTCCTTGTTGAGTGATATAAGGACTTTGTGGTTGAACTTTGTCCAATTTTTGTAGGTTCCCCCTCCACGTAATCGTAGCTGTTCCTTGTAAAGACCGATGCGCCTTTCGACTACGCTGTTGGATTGAGGGTGATAGGGAAGATGAAGATGCCAGTTAACGTTGTGGAGGTGTGCAAATTTGTCCAGCGCATTAGAATTGAATGGAGGGCCTCCGTCTGACTGAATTTCGTGGGGAGGTTGCCAGCTAGCGAACACAGTTGTTAACGCTGAAATTATGGCACCGGCGTTGCTTTTTCGCAAGGGAATTACTTGTACTTGTCTCGAGCCGAGATTGACAACAACCAATCCCTTGTTCGGCGGTTTGGCTTCGGGCAGAGGTCCTAGAAGGTCTACTTGCCAAACCTTTCTGGGCACAAACTGTCGTGCATCTAGTGCTCCGACTTGATGTTTCGTTTGATGACACTTCTCCTTGGCAGCTTCACAGGCTTGAGATATTCGTTCCCAATCAGACCTTGTGCCATAGGGTGTGGGAGTTACTGTAGTGGATCACCAACGTAATTGACTAGCCCTTTGTCCTGGGTGTCCCCAGTGTTCATGCAGCCACGTGAGGAACGGATCTAAATGCGGTTTGGGATCGTCCGTCTTGATGGCCAAGACAACATCACTCTGGAGAGGGTCTTCTAGAAGCTTGTCGATGACTTCGTGTACGGGATCAGTTTCAAGTTTATGCGACTTGGTGTGTTTTATTAGCGGTAGGATGACAAACTGGGATAGCATGTCCCAGATTCTCTCCCAATCTTCTAGGTTTTCCGCCGCAGTGGCTGCGCCAGTGACAATTTTGTAGACGTACTGGGAATCAATGGCTATGATGGGAGTTGGAAGCGTCCCGTCATGATGATGAAGGCAGTAGCAGATGACAGCTTCAAACCCTAGGAGTTCGTTTCTTTGGGCTGTGGCCCCTTCGGGGGCGCCGAATAGTCCCACATCATGGCACGGTTTGCAATAGAACCCATAGCCCCCTCCATTTCGAGTGGTGCCATCGGAGGCCATCCAGGCCGGAGCTGTAGTTCCATAAAGAGTGGGTGTGAAGTTATCTTGGGCGTCGGGACTGGGTGGTAAGTCTTCGTACTTCTAGCAACACCAGTGATAGTGGTGGTGGAGTACCATTTCGTTCCAGGTAGCTGGTTCTCCTTGGAACTGTGAGTCGACCTTTGTGGCATCCAGCAAAGGCAAGAGGGTGGCGGCGGGGGGTCGGAGTGTTCCATG